GAATGTGCTTTAAGCCCCCGATAGTCTTGTCGGCTTGGCGCGAATCCCCCTGGCACCCACGACACAGGCACCTCAGCCGAACCTGAAAAATCCATAACTGAAAAGTAATCCCGCTGGATAGTCTGACTACCAGAACGCGAATAGTATTATTTTGTTTGGCACGGAAGTGCCAGGTAAGTATGCTGCGGGCACCAACGATACAGCTGGTCCGTAGCGCCAGGGGCTGTGGCGCAGGTGCAGGGCATTACTGCTCAAAACGGGTATGGCGTTCGTCAGACTACTCGCGAAAGCAAAGTCTCAGCGAGATTTAGAGAAACGGAAACCAAAGCCCTCCTTATATTGACCCCTTTGTAATAATTACCAACTAACTATGAGGCTAACAAAGAGTTTGTCTCAAGTACGTCACAACGCTACAATACCTCCATACTATATTAGAGAAGAAATTTTTGATTAGAATGTGGATTGATTTTCGAAGGATGGGCAGTAAATGGTTAGTAGCAAGAATAGCATTATTAGTAAATTAGACTGACTTTATATGCGGTATGATGTCGAGGAAGCACGTTCCCATGAACACACCGCCCGAGAAGCACGAAAGCATGGAGAGCCATCTACCATGGGTCTTGTTATCTCCATGTCGTTTGTCAAGAAATCGCAAAAGCTGAACACAAGAGTAGTAGTCATTTGAAAAACGCTGGAGAAATCCTGAGACTCACCTTCAGTGGAATGAAGCCGGCGATGGCAGTTGTTAGAAACATAACGACCGCGAGGGATATTTGAAGCCAAACGGTCATCGTCTGAAACTGTACGATAATGAGGATGGAAAAAGGAGGAGGAAATCATTACGGCAATCACTCTAGAAAACTCACGCCTGTGTTCTCGAATAGACTGCCTGGCTAAATGTCTCGAACTTGTTCTTATTTGCCTGAAAAGTGTGTTTTGATTAACAACAGACTGCAAACAAACGTAGCTGAGCAAGTAGGACTGGACAAAGGACAACTAGTTGTGGATGGATTCGAGAGCTTGGTAAGCATGGTCCATGCACTTCGTTCGACATCACGACGCTAGACATTTTGTGACATGTTCGCGGTGATTGGAATGGTTTCGTGGGACGGTTTCTCGAAACATTGTCAAAGTATTAGGTTGTTCGGAAAGGAAGCGCGTTTGAGTGTAAAAAAATTTTTATTATAAAAAAATTAAACAAGGTCAATCTAAAAGATATTCTCCATTACT